CGTAAAGTGGCTTTTAAAACTTTTAACTCCCGCTTCCCACAGTCCGCCCATGTGGGGAGCTGAAGCGGGAATGAAGTGCCACGAAAGCATTTGGTGAGCGTATTTCGCCAAAGTGTTATCGCGGGCGTCTTTTAAAAAGGCTTTTGTTTCGGCTCTCAGAGCTCTAGAAGCTCCCACAAAATTGGTGCCGTTGTCGGAATAGATATTTTTTGGACAGCCTCGTCGTGCGATGAACCTGGCAAATGCTGCTAAAAACGACTGAGTGCTCAAGTCCGAAGTGGCTTCCAAATGGATTGCCTTTGTTGCGAAGCATACAAATAGGCAGACATATCCTTTTGACATGCGACAACCTCGGCCACTATAACTTTTAATGTCAAATGGCCCTGCGAAGTCGACTCCCGCATTTGTAAACGCTCGCGAAAATGTCGTTCTTTCCTTGGGAAGAATTCCCATTAACTGAGTTTGCGCGCGTTTGCGATAAATCGTGCAAGCCTTACAGTTATGAATTGTGGACCTAATCAAGTTTTTGACCCTAGGTATCCAGTACTGTGTTCGGATCAAGCGCAGCATGAGCTGATTCTCACCATGCAGGGAAACTTTGTGAATAAACTGAACTATGAGACGGGACAAGGTGCAATTATAAGGCAGGATGATTGGGTGACGCTCGTTGTAGGCGAGATCACGAGATGCTCCCAGCCGTCCACCTGTTCTCATTATACCGTCTTTGTCGATGAATGGGGTAAGGGGCAATACTTCACTTTTAGAACCTACTGATTTTCCTGATACTAATGCTGAATATTCCTCACCATAATGCTGCTTCTGGCAAACTAGTACTAAGCGTTGGGTCGTTGCTTTAATTTCATCAGCTGAAATTAAACAAGATTTCGCTTGAAATGAAGCTTTGGTATTTGGACGGGTTCTTTGGGAGAATCTCATTACGTATGATAGCACTCTCAAAGCTCTTGGAAATTCAGAAAACCTATCAAGAATATCAGTCTTACTATCCATTGTTGTTATATGAACTTGTACCCTTTTTTCTTCAACGGTTGTGTTATAGTCCTTTCCTTGAGTGGGCCATTTTGAGTGGTCTTCTTGAAGCCAAGAAGGGCCCTCCCACCACAGGGAATTGTTTATTAATTCTTGCGCCGTAAGTCCTCTGCTGGCTAAATCTGAGGGGTTTGACGTTGAGTCCACATGACGCCAGTTTTCTCCTCCCACCTTCTCAATTATTTTGGTCACTCGATGGGCTACAAATGTCGACCATGAGCATGGAGGCTTGCGTATCCAGGCAAGCACGATGGTGGAATCCGTCCACATCTGAGTTGTACGATGGGCTAAGTTCAGATTATCCGAAATCGATTCCAGGGTTTCTGCCAACAGGACCGCTCCACAGAGTTCTAGGCGTGGTAAGGAAATTGTTTTAACTGGTGCTACCCTAGTTTTTGATAGTAGCAGGTTGATGAACACTTTGCTGCTTATTTCGACACGCAAGTAAATAGATGCTGCGTAAGCCTTCTCTGAGGCGTCGCAAAATCCGTGAATTTCGATCTCGGCCACAGGGGAAAAGTGTACCCAACGTGGAATACGAATTCTTTCGATACTGTCGTAGCTTTCCCTAAAATTTTTCCAGCGGTCTAGAGTCGTAGGTGACACGATTTCGTCCCACCCTGTTCCTTCCAACCAGATATTCTGCATTAAAATTTTCGCAGTAATTACCACTGGTGCAAGCCATCCTAGAGGGTCGAATAATTTGGCAATAGCCGATAGTATTTGCCTTTTAGAATAGCTAACCTGTTCCTCTATTGGCTTGGCTGTAAAGTAAAAATTGTCAGAGTGGGCATTCCACCTGATACCCAAAGCTTTGACTGTGCTAGTGTCTTCAAAGTCCAAGAAGTCTTCTTTCAGTAGATGGGATTTTGGTATTCCCTTTAATATTTCATTGCAATTGGACGTCCATTTCCTCAAGGGGAACCCAGCAGACTGCAATGCACTTGTTATTTCGGTTTTGCCTTGATAGCAGCTTCGATGGAGTGACCGCCAGCTAAAACATCGTCAACATACATGTAATTTCTTAATATGTCCGACGCCATGGGGTGTGACTGTTCTACATCGTCAGCTAATTGGAGCAGGGTTCTAATCGCGAGGTAAGGGGCGCAATTGACCCCGAAAGTCACCGTATTAAGTTCAAAAAGACTAATTGGTTCTGTTGGGCTTGTGCGGAAAACTATTCGTTGATACTTGCTATCGGTAGGATTAAGTAAAATCTGGCGATACATCTTTTCGATGTCGCTATTAAAAACATATTTATAAAATCTCCACCGAAGTATTAAGATGGTGAGGTCATTTTGCAGTACTGGACCAGGATGAAGCACATCATTGAGACTCACCCCATTAGCTGTCGGACACGACGCATTGAACACCACCCGTACTTTGGTGGTGGTGCTCTCTTCCTTCCGGACGGCATGATGAGGTAAAAAATAATTTTCACACTCATCAGCTTGAATATGGCTGGAAATTCGCGTCATATGTCCTAAAGTTTCGTACTCGGACAGTACCCTATTATACTCCGTTTGTAGGAGTGGGTCCTTTGCTAGACGCGTTTCATTGCGAAAAAATTGAGAGCAAGCGCTCTTGAGAGAGGGTCCTAACCGCACGCTCCCTGGAAAATCCATTTTGAATGGCAACGATACTGTATATTTTCCATCTTTGTTCCTTTTAGTTGTGCGTTTGTACAGGTCCTCGCAGTAAACTTCCTCTCTGTTGTATGTATGGTTCTTTGGGATGTCCTCTAATTCCCAAAAAGACGCTAATTGTTTGTCTAGAGTGACTTCGTTGAAGAATGAAACGCATTTATTCGTTGGCCCTGTTGCCTCAGTTTGACCGGTTAGTATCCAGCCGAATACAGTCTCTTGCGCAAGCAGGGTACCTAAAACATTCTTCTGTATGCCACTCAATATTATTTGGGCGTAAATATCGCCGCCTAGTACAAGATCAACTTGCTCATTTATGAAGAATCTCTTGTCAGCTAATACTAAATCCGGAAACGCTTGCTTTGTCATAGCATTGATCTGGCAAGTCGGCAGATTTCCTGTAAGCTGTGGTAGAACCAGGACAGTGGTATCTATTTTTATTAAAGGGTCAATCGGTGACCGCAACTGTATTAAACACGCTTCTTTGACTTGGGCTGAAACGGTGTTGTTGATGCCTGACACCTGAGCATTCAAACTTTTGGATGGTAGGTTAATTCGGCGTTTAAGTCTTTCTGATATGAATGAACATTCCGAACCGGAGTCTATTAGTGCACGGGCTGAAAAATTAGTATTATTGAAGAAGATATTGACACGTGCCGTTCCTAATAGGACTCCCTTGTTCGTGTTGGCAAAACAGGACTTAACGTTATTAACCGGACTCCTATTTCCTTTTTCAGAGTTGCGTCTGGCCTGGGCTTGCGCAGAAGTTGACGGCGTGTCATCTGAAAAATTTGGTTGTTGCCTTTGGTTCATGGCTGCTTTTGGCTGAGCTGCTTGATTATGCAGGAGCGTGTGGTGCCTTTGGTGACAGGTGCTGCAGTTAAATGAGCACGTACACCTTGACACAGTATGTCCAAAAGATAAGCAGTTCAAGCAGCCACGATTCTCCTTAATGAAGGCTATTCTGTTTGACACCGTGAGTTCGAGAAATTTGTGGCATTTCGATAATTTGTGGTTACTGCTTTTGCAGAATACACACATGGTTTTGGCTACAGAAGCTTGAAATGCGCCAAGTCTTTTTTTGCGGTGTTTCATTTGTATGCCTACTATTGTGGGGCTTTGGGATTTTGGTATGTTTAATACCTGTTATGCCCGAGACGGTTTCAAGAGTTTGGAATCGGTTGGACAGAAATTTGTCCATATCCTCCCACTTGGATATTTCCGTCTTGTTCTCGATCGTTTGTTCCCACAATGCTAAGGTACTTTCTGGCAACTTCGTTGAGCAGAGATAAGTAAATATTGCATCCCAGTTTGATATGTCAATTTTATGGCTTTTTAATGATGAGATGCAATTATTTATATCTCGCTGTAGTTTCTTAATCGAGATTCCGCACTCGTTTTCTACCGACTTTAAATTAAAAAGAATTTGTAACTGGGAGTTTACGAGAATACGTTTGTTCTCGTACCTATCAGTTAAATTTTTCCATGCAGTGGCAAATCCCTCGTTAGTAAGTGGGCATTTTTGTACGATATCTTTGGCCTCCCCCTGTGTTTTTTGGTTGAGGTGGAATAATTTCTCAACCGGGGTAAGGCGCTTATTCAGTATATATATGGCCGTAAACATGTCTCGGAATGTTGGCCAAGAGAGGTAGTCGCCTTTGAACACGTCCGTATCGCACGGGGGCAGATGTATATTGTGTTCCTGGACAGACACGCCCTCTGTATCTTTTTCGCCCTTGACTAACTTTGCCTGGAAATCTGACATGTTCGACATGCAGCGCAAATAAACAGAATAGGAGCTCTTATACCTAGGTTTAACCGTAGAGACTCCTTTAGCGTCTAACGTGTCGGAATGCACTAATTCTTCGTAAGCAGTTTTTACCTTTCTCCATATTGCCTTAAGTTCCTCTTGCTGAAGAGTGAGGGTATATTTTGTGTGGTCAATTTGGGCCGTGTCATTATAGTCGGCCTCAAATTCTGCCACAGCATCAGTTAATTTTATGAATTTATCCATTTTGTTTATCGGAACAAAAATTTTGCAAACTGACAGGTATTATTTAGTACAGAAAAACCACTGAAGACCAAGATTCAAGTACGACTTCACTTGAGAAAAATTCTTAGAGACCACCACAATCCCAGATTTTAATACAAGAATTTCTAGTGTACCTTCACACGTATCAAGATATATTCTTTTATTTGTGATAATATATATATGTATGTATGTTTTAAAGGTTATACGTATGTATGTATTTGTAAGTATATGTATATATTTTACTTTTTTCTTATGATTGCAGAATCTAAAAAAAGCTCGCCACCCAACTCTCAATTGTAATTGAGCTATTAGTCTACTTATTCCGAAGAGACTTCTTATTTGTCCAATATTGTATGCCGCACGCGAATAGTGATTTTGTGGATGAAAATTTAAAGTGAACTCAAAATTGCCAATCAAATTAATAACAAGTGAGGTTAGAATCAAACTCCGTGATGTGTTAGTGTTGATGTACATACATACATGTGTATATGTGCGTAAAGAATTGAAAATGCAACTCGAACTAAAATACAATAAACGTGATGAAAGCCAAAAATCATCGAATTGAATATGTATTTTGAAGATATTGGAAAATAATTTTGAGCCCCGAAACTTAGTGAAAAAAAAGTGTGTTGCAGTGTTGTTTAAAAGAATAATTACACAAACAACTCACGTGGAAAGTTTTTACTAAAATCGCTGTCGCGCGCACTGGTGTTTGTCTTGCATACCCGTATGTATGTATGTACCTATGCTCACACGTTTGTTTAATGATTTGACAAATTATATTAATAATTGAAATTCACTGTTCACGATTTTCCACAAAATCACTATCGGTTATTACTGGCTTTTAAGTGCGCGAATTTTTCGGTATTTATCGCGTTTTCACCAATAATACATAAAATAATGTGCTTGAAACGACAACCACGTACCTTTGTAATTAGTTTTTAACTTTTGGTGACTTGTGCTGTTTGCTGGACAGATTTGCGCCTTTATGTGTCGCTGTGTTGGTTTCTGGTGAGCTGGTGGTAATATGAGCGCTTTTGTGTTGTTGCCGCACCGTGTATCTCGGTCCTTTGGCTCCTTATTATTTCGTATGGACAGACGTCTGCTCGATCAAGTGTATTAATCTGGGGCGTTTTTGTCTGGGGCGTGCTTCCGTGACCTTTTAATATATATAAATGGTGGTTACTTTTAATTCCGGCTCGAAGGACCATGAACGATCGGTGAACCAATGGGTCGCAACTCCCGCAGTGGCACCAATGTCAATTGAAAAAAGAAAATGGAAAAAACACAACCAAGTGTATTAGTGTATAATAGCTTGAATTTCAAGTGGCTTTATTATCAAATAAATCAGTGGGTGTACAATGTGATTACCTTTTAATATGTATCGCTGGGTGATGGCTGAAGTCGTCCGGTCTCCTTGATAGCTCGAAAGAAGTGAAAAAGTCCCGCTTTGACAAAGTTAAGTTTACCCGCCGGCAGCCAACTGCTCGGAGGGGAAACTTAACGAAAGTATGTTACAACGGGAAATAATACATTTATTGCTAACGGCGAAGCAATAAAGGTAGGCCGTATATATGCCTGAGTGTGTTTGTGTGGTCGGCTCAAGTCAATGCACTTTTACATTAGGGTGGTTTGACCTTTAAATCATTTGGTTTTGCATGAAGGCCTAAACATGCCGGCCCCCCTTGCTATCAGCAACATCGGTCGAGCGCTTCAGCCACCACGCCGGACTGAGTACTAAGAAGTAGAAAAAAAAACAGTCTAAATATATGTAAAATAACAATTCATTTGAGAAAAAAAGATTATTATTGTTTCCAGTGGCAGGATGCCTCCAAGTTCCGGTGGTCCACGTCTTAGTTTCCTAGCTAATGAAGGAATAAAAGGAAGAAATACTAATGAAAAAGGTATGGTTGAACATTTCAGAGCACATTTATTGATAAAAAATTTCAAAATTCAGTAAAAAATTCATGTTTACAAAAAAAAAATCAAACATTGAATTTAGGAGCGACATACTCCTGAGAGCATCCATCCAAAAATTGTGCTTTGGGCGATAAAGGGACCAAACGTGTTTGGGAGCATACCCGGCAGTACGATGTCTGGGTATACGTCGGCTCCCAGTACTAAGCGAATCGGTGTCGACGTATAAAAGTTTGGATCCGCTAGTCGTATGTGCGTATACGCTGTCGCTACTGACGGATCGACGCTACTAGTGGGGCTAACACGGACGTAATTGTTTATCGTTGTGGCGTGGATAGCCAACCTGGTGTTCTGGCCGTGTTTTCCCCTCAGACGCAGTAGACAGCCACGTTGGTTTCCGAAATTTGAAACGTCGAGCCTGAGTTTTACCGCTAAATCTGTCGCAATTATAGAAGTCGGAGAGCATACGTCAATTAACGCGCGTATAAGGTGCAACCGTCCACGAGCTTCTATTTTTACCACGACCGTTGGAGCAATAGACGTCACCGGTCGTAACGCTTGGGTTTCGCGTGCAAGTCGACCCGCTCGAAATGCGATGGATAGCTGGCGAGGCCTCGTCTCCAGTCTACCCTGATCGCGATTGGGCCTGTTTGACTCCTCTCGCGTTTGCCGCAGGCGGAAAGGCCTAGTTTCCGCTCTACGGTTCTGCCGGGCTGTTGACCGCGGTCGGAAAGGCCGTGTTTCCGATCCACGTTCTCGGCGTCGTTCGTGCTCTAACAGGGGTCGGAAAGGCCGAGTTTCCGATCCCCTGGTTATAGTCGGGAGGGGAGTCCCAGATTCCGGTGTGGATTCTGCTAGTTCATCTGCTGGGCGGAGCGGCCTGGTTTCATCTGCGTGGTCGGACGCGTTGATAGATAACGCGCGTTCGGACTCGTCCTCACTAGCAACTTGCTCGCTCCATGGGCGTGTATCAATCGGCTGAAGGGGTTCGGATTCGTCATCCATGTGCAGCGTTGTGTGGTGTTTTCCGCGGCACCGACGACATCTTTCTTCGCTCGTGCACTCGTCAGACCGATGCATCATGGACAGGCAGTTTCCGCAGAAGCGACCAATCAGTGCCTCCCTCAGTCTCTCTTCGGGAGTTTTACCGCGGAATGATGGGCAGAGCCGTATCGGATGCATACCCTGGCATAAACGGCAAGCTAGAGCAAAGCGGTTTGATTGTTGCTCGGCCTTCTTTCTCATCGAGGTGAAGCGAGTCATCGTTGATGTCTGAAATCATTATTTTTTCCCTTTTGTGTATATTTGGCTATATAGATATACGTACTTGTTTATATATTTATATTCTAGTTGGGTGGCGAGTAGCAAAAAAAACTTAATTATATGTGGCTATTGTAAATTTCGTATATTTTATGGTACGGGTGGTCTCATATATCACTGTCTTGTGATAGTGTATAGTGTGCATAATATTGCATGAGTTTTGCATAAAGTGTGTGGGGCACCTTATGTTTATGCATCGACACACGGTTATCGACTTTGATTTCTCTGCTCGCATCGGTGTGTTGTCATTTTGTTAATTTGTGTAATTACACGGCCTGCCACCCAAAACAAAAGTAAATAAGTAAGGGCAACCAAAAAAAATCGCAGATAGGAAGTGGGCTGGAACGCCTGACAACTTGATTTAAGGTAACTAAAACCATGCATAGTATTTGTTGATGAGCCTTGTAAAACAATAAATTATAGGTCCGGAGCAAATCGGCAGCAGCAAGCTTATGGAAATGGTGCGCGTCAAAGATTGGGCGGACTACGAGGCGCTGCCACTTACAACTGTAATTACGGAGTACTGAGCGCACTGAATTTAGTTGTACATTTTGTAAATAGTATATATGTACACAGAGATTCACGTTTACTTATGTGTGTTTAAATGTACTTTTATATTTTTAATAAAGAGTCAAGTTAACTTAAATTAACAAAAAAGGGCCGGCATGTTTCGTTTTCGTATTGCACCGAACTCTTGAAGAAATAAACGAAATGAAATAGTAACGTGCATTATAGTTTATTTTCGTACACAGATGCTTCTATACATATGTGCTTGGGAGTATCACAACTTAATGCTTTATTTGAAAATTACTAAGTTGGCGGGCCCTTCAAAATTTAATAACTCATGATTTTATTAAAAAGAAAAGCACATTTAATACGCTTTGCTTTGTCCCGAACAAATCTAAGTAGTTCGCCGGTATCGAGTTGCGTAGTAGATTTTCAGTTTACCGATCGTAGGGGAGTCCGAACCCTGGCTGCGCTGTCAACCAAGAGCGTAAATTGAAATTTACGTTCTTGTATTAGAGATGTGCTGAGTCCACACATATGAGTACTCATACCTACTCGGTACCTATTTAAAAGTATCCAATACTTTCGACACTCGGTGTCGGACTATTATACAACTTCTAACAAAAACGACAGCCAAACGTATGGAAGCAATTTTTTTTTGAGATAAAGCTCATTAACGAACTTTGAGGCGATGTCTTACAAATTCCAACTGGAATAAATAAATGAATATGTATACATATATATATATATATATATATATATATATATATTATTATTATTATTTTTTTTTTTTTTAAGGGGCTATGCACGGAATTCTTTGTGAGTACGGAGTCCACAGCGCCCTCAGGGGGTACAGAACAAAAATTAAATAACTGAAAGTCATTCGTTGTCGAAATTTCAGAGAACGCTTCATTTTTATGTGAACCTTTATTATTCTTCTGCAAAAAAAAACAAAATGGATCCGAAATTGTGCGACAGGTGATTTACGTGTACTTATATTACTACTAAGGTATATTGCATTGCATCGGTATCGGTTACCAATACCGAAACTTTGGGTACCGAGTATTGGGGCAACTCTGCACATCACTATTTTTTAAAAAATGACACTTTCATTGAGGGCAATTGCAGCACATATCACAATTTCCTGAATGGCCCGAGTGATTATGATGCGGTAAGTTGCGTATTTTTCTAATAGTATTTAATGTGATAATTTTTACCTTCTACTTTTAGCTTTCCTTGGAGATATTCCACCCAAAACCCTCATTCATCCAAGTACGGCACATTTACAACTCGTAATCGAGTTCGCCTGAAGGATGAATGAGGAATTTTAGTATGATGAATGGAAGTGCGTGGCTCTTGGGAACTTCGGGTATGCAGGCGATACTCGCAGCACAAATTCCTCTCGGAAAAAGCCAACCATTAAGTATCGTGAAATATGAATTAATATAATATGAATCTTTTATGTAAACCCTATTATCTTACTAATATCTTTTCGTTTCCATTTCAGATGATGCTGGATTTAGCTAAAAGTGGTTGCAACATCGCGCACGACAAATCACATGCATTTGGCCAAAACTTCTGTATCGATTGTGCGAATTTGAAGTCTTGCAGGATCTGTGTCGCACAGATAAACCTTGTGTTCCAAATTTTATAGAAGATCAGTCCTTTGACGAAATACGATGGATATGTTATGAAGCTAAAAAAAAACTGTTTCGATCAGTTCGTTAAACAATTCGCCAAAGAAGCCATTGAAGCTAATAATAAAATGAAAACAATGGCGCAGATATCACCCCATGTAGTAGATATTATATGCCGATTGTATGATGCAACTTCAGAAGCCGCCACAAATGTGGGTTTGACTAAAAGTAATAAAACTAATCCATTTGGCCTTGAAATTAGCGTTGCCAGTGACACAGCATTGATATTTAAAAAACCTGGCGCTACATCCAGCAGTGATAAAAATTTTGGTGATGCTTTTAACGATCATGGTCATACTACCAATGCCGGATGCGTATTTGGCGGAATGGCACCTTCGACTCCTGGAGGAATCCTTGGTGGAGGTCAGTCAGCTTTTAATTTTCAAAATCAGCAGTCTTCAGTTTTTTCTCAACAGCTTCCAAATGCTAGTTCCATATTCGGAGGAGGCGCCCCACTAAATCTATTTGGTCAAACGCTGACAAGTACTGATGTTACTGTTGGACGTTTTGGGCGCGCGCAGCAAGGGACCGGAGGTTTGTTCAGCCAATCATTATTACAGCAGCATCAAATTAAACCTTCGTCCATCGTAGGTTTGTGTTCTTCCCAAGCTCAACAGAACGCAGGTGGTAGTTTATTTAACCTAAGTATTCAGAAGCAGCAAATAACAAATGGGGGAAACGTTTTTACCCAATCCACGCGATCTCAACAAATGCAAACTCCGCCGAATTTTGGCATGTACCAGAGCAACAAACAGGATGCGCAATCAGTTTTTGTACAGCAAAATGTTTTTTCACAACAAACCCCTGGTTGCATATTTGGTCAAGTGGCACAAACTACGTCTTCTGCCAACTTAATTTGTCTGGTAATTTTTCCCGGAATATTGTGAGTACTATAACCTTTTTATTATTATACTGCTTTTACACAGTTCAAGTATTGAATTCCATTTTGCTCGCATGTGGAAGAGAGGGGGTGAGAACAAAGGGGACGAGTACACATGCGTCTGTACCGTCAAGTCGTTTAAACTTTCTTGCTTTGCTTTTGGCATTTTCGTTGCTTCCCATTTAACGAACCAAACTTGAATTCAACAGAATTGAAACGTGTAAAAGCAAATAGAAAACACAAAGTATCTGAATCATGTAAATCGGGCGTAATGACGAAAGTCCATAACCATCCCTTGCGGTGATATGTAGGAGAGCGCTGCATGAATGCATTCAAACGGCGTATGAATTATTCATATACAAACGAATGAATAATTTTAGCTTAAAATTTTTATTTTTTTTTTTTTTTCAATCTGAGTGAACAGCTGTTCAGATATATGTGTCGACAAAGTGAAAATAAATTGAATTGATATAAATGTCAACT